TAATAATTATGTACAGTAATAGTCACCTGCACACACAGATATCCCCCTAACATAGCTATAACTAAAAACAAACTAAAAACTACTTCCAAAAATATTCAGCTTTGATATTAATGAGTTTTTGGGGTTCATTGAGAACATGGTTGTTGTTCAATAATAAAATTAATCCTCAAAAATACAACTTGCCTAATAATTCTGCACTCCCTGTACATGTCCAAATCCCAGCGCCTCTGCCTTCCACTACATGTCCCAATCCCAGCGCCTCTGCCTTCCACTACATGTCCCAATCCCAGCACCTCTACCTTCCAGTACATATCCCAGTCCCAGCACCTCTCCCTTCCTCTACATGTCCCAATCCCAGCACCTCTCCCTTCCTCTACATGTCCCAATCCCAGCACCTCTCCCTTCCTCTACATGTCCCAATCCCAGCACCTCTCCCTTCCACTACATGTCCCAATCCCAGCACCTCTCCCTTCCACTACATGTCCCAATCCCAGCACCTCTCCCTTCCTTTACATGCCCCAATCCCAGCACCTCTCCATTCCTCTACATGTCCCAATCTCAGCACCTCTCCCTTCCACTACATATCCCAATCACAGCACCTCTCCCTTCCTCTACATGTCCCAATCCCAGCACCTCTCCCTTCCACTACATGTCCCAATCCCAGCACCTCTCCCTTCCAGTACATGTCCCAATCCCAGCACCTCTCCCTTCCAGTACATGCCCCAATCCCAGCACCTCTCCCTTCCACTACAGGTCCCAATGTCAGCACCTCTCCCTTCCACTACATGTCCCAATCCCAGCACCTCTCCCTTCCACTACATGTCCCAATGCCAGCACCTCTCCTTTCCACTCCATGTCCCAATCCCAGCACCTCTCCCTTCCTCTACATGTCCCAATGCCAGCACCTCTCCCTTCCACTACATGTCCCAATCCCAGCACCTCTCCCTTCCTCTACATGTCCCAATCCCAGCACCTCTCCCTTCCTCTACATGTCCCAATCCCAGCACCTCTGCCTTCCACTACATGTCCCAATCCCAGCGCCTCTGCCTTCCACTACATGTCCCAATCCCAGCACCTCTACCTTCCAGTACATATCCCAGTCTCAGCACCTCTCCCTTCCTCTACATGTCCCAATCCCAGCACCTCTCCCTTCCACTACATGTCCCAATCCCAGCACCTCTCCCTTCCTTTACATGCCCCAATCCCAGCACCTCTCCCTTCCACTACATGTCCCAATGCCAGCACCTCTCCCTTCCACTACATATCCCAATCCCAGCACCTCTCCCTTCCTCTATATGTCCCAATCCCAGCATCTCTCCCTTCCTCTACATGTCCAAATCCCAGCACATCTCCCTTCCTCTACATGTCCCAATCCCAGCACCTCTCCTTCCTCTACATGTCCCAATCTCAGCACCTCTCCCTTCCCACTGCATGTCCCAATCCTCCAGCACCTCTCCCTTCCCCTCCTACATGTCCCAATCCCAGCACATCTCCCTTCCTCTACATGTCCCAATCCCAGCACCTCTCCCCTTCCAGTACATGTCCCAAATGCCCGGCACCTGCTGCTTCACTGGGTCCAATGCAGCACCTCTCCAGCTTCCACTGTGTCCCAATGCCAGCTTCCTCTCCTTCCACTACATGTCCCAATCCAAGGGTTCTCTCCTTTCTCAGCATGTCCCCAATCCCAGCACCTCTCCTTCCTCTGCATGTCCCAATCCAGCACCTCTGCCTTCCACTACTGTCATCCCAATCCACAGCCTCCTGCCTTCCACTACCTGTCCCAATCCCAGCACCACCTCTACCTTCAGTACATATCCCAGTCTGGCACCTCTCCTTCCTCTACATGTCCCAATCCCAGCACCTCTCCCTTCCACTACATGTCCCAATCCCAGCACCTCTCCCTTCCACTACATGTCCCAATCCCAGCACCTCTCCCTTCCTCTACATGTCCCAATCCCAGCACCTCTCCCTTCCACTACATGTCCCAATCCCAGCACCTCTCCCTTCCTTTACATGCCCCAATCCCAGCACCTCTGCCTTCCACTACATGTCCCAATGCCAGCACCTCTCCCTTCCACTACATATCCCAATCCCAGCACCTCTCCCTTCCTCTATATGTCCCAATCCCAGCACCTCTCCCTTCCTCTACATGTCCAAATCCCAGCACATCTCCCTTCCTCTACATGTCCCAATCCCAGCACCTTTCCCTTCCACTACATGTCCCAATGCCAGCACCTCTCCCTTCCACTACATGTCCCAATGCCAGCACCTCTCCCTTCCACTACATGTCCCAATGCCAGCATCTCCCTTCCACTACATGTGCCAATGCTAGCACCTCTCCCTTCCACTACATGTCCCAATGCCAGCACCTCTCCCTTCCACTACATGTGCCAATGCCAGCACCTCTCCCTTCCACTACATGTGCCAATGCCAGCACCACTCCCTTCCACTACATGTTCCAATGGCAGCAACTCTCCCTTCCACTACATGTTCACCTGCAAGGGACTTCTCCTCCATCCACACACCTCTTCCTTCCATTACATGTACCCCTCCTAGTGCAGTCCCCTCCATCCCACACCTCTCGCTTCCATTATATGTTCACCTTGCAGCAAAGTTATCTCCATCCCTGCATCTTTCCTTTATATAACATGTTCCCATCCCGGTGTGGTCCCATTCATCCCGCAACCCTCCCTTCCATTACATGTTCCCATCCAGGTGTGGCCCCCTCCATCCCTGAACCTCTCCCTTCCATTACATGTTCACCTCTCAGCGAGGTCCTCTCTATCACTGCACCTCTCCATTCCATTACATGCTCACCTCTCAGCGAGGTCGTCTCTATCATTGCACCTCTCCCTTCCATTACATGTTCACCTCTCAGCGAGGTCATCTCTATCATTGCACCTCTCCATTCCATTACATGTTCACTTCCATGCTATGTCCTCCCTACCCACACCTCTCCCTTCCATTACATGCTCCCATCCTGGTGTGGTCCCCTCCATTCCCGAGACTTGTCCGTTTGTAAAGCATGTTCCCATTCTGGTGTGGTATCATCCAAAACCTCTCCCTTCCATTACATGCACACACCCAGGTGTGGTCTCCTCCATTCCTGGAACTTCTCCCTTCGATTATATTTTCACCTTCCAGTGAGTTCCCGTCCATCCTCGCACCTCTCAGAGTTGGATATGTTTGCTTTTACTCAACGTACATTTTAAAGCATTCACTCCAGTCTTTTTTTTTTATTATTCTAATAAGCATAACAAACAAATGTATATGTAAAGCAAATTATTAAAATTAAGTCCTTGTCAATTATAACTTCTCAGATTATTTCTCACCTCCCAGAGTGTATATTAGTTTAATGAAATGAAAATTACCACACAGTACATATATATGTTTAGTCAGGGCCCTTTAATAGATGTTGTCTAACGGTGATGTGCCCACCGACTACAACTCTGGATGTCATTAGCTGGCAGAGAATAAAAGTAACATGAGTCCAAAAAGTAGAGGGTCCAAGGCTGGACACCTACACTGGGGCAAAAACAATTGAAATGAAAAATAAACATCTCCAATTCAGCTTTCATGCAATTCTTCAGAGATTCAGTGTCAAGGCAAACTGATTATTGTGGCATATTTACGAGGCCTTGAAGAATATGGTATATAAGGGTGCACTCAGATTTTCAATGCATTTTCTTTTGTACCTACCTTATTCTGTTCTAGTCTCTGTAATGAGCTGGTAACTATTGTGGTTAGCTACACATTTAATCTTCTCAACTTTTCCCTTTAAGGATAGACTTGCTGGCATCCCTGAATATTCTCTTGAAGTGCCTGCCAACAAGAAAACAATCATGCTACAAATGATATAAACAAGCCTATGACACTATTTATGCCACTTCACAAGAAATATGAACCGTATGATAACAAGTAAAAAATTAAACAGAAAATACAAATCACAAAGTAAATGTATTTTCTGCCATGTTACTTAAACAGGTTTTAACACAGACTTCTAATTTACAGATATGCATAATCACCTATTATGACTCAGTGCTACAACAGACTGCACATTGCATCAGTGTAATCAAATATTTTCTTTTAATTAGAAAGAAGAAATGTCTGTTGAATTAGACTATGTCTTTGAAAACACTCTTAGATCATTTTATCAAACCATCAGAACTAATTGTCTCTATTAATGGCAATCATGCTCAGGTTAAAAATGTTAAGAAGTTGTCCAAAAGGCACTAACACAAATACATATAATAAAATAAAGAGAAGAGAGAAATTGATTGTGAGACAGATGTAGATAGAAGATAATGACACAGAAGAAGAAATGTAATTTGCTTGTTTAT